GGACTATAGGCACATGCCACCACACTCGGCTAAATTTTTTTTGTATTTTTATTAGAGACAGCATTTCACCATGTTGCCCAAGCTGACTTTGAACTCCTGGACTCAAGAAGTCCTCTCACCTCAGCCTCCCAAAGTGCTGGGAATACAGGCATGAGCCACCGTGCCTGGCCAGAAGAGATTTTTAGAATCTACTTTGAGTAGACTGAAAAAAAAGACCATGTTGAAGGAACGGCTTAACAGATAAAGAAAAAAATAATAAAAGAAAATGAAAAGAAAAAACAAAAAGAAAACAGAGGAGCAGATGTTAAAGGAGAGATAGGCAGAAAATTCAACACCATCCTTGAAGTCGAGTGAGGAAACTGAGGCACCAGCAGAACTTGGACAAACCACTCTGGAGCTCTGAGCCCAACCTTTTAACAGGTCACTATAACCTGAGGGGGTGGGAGGACAGAGGCCTGGAGGGGAAGGGAGAGTGAGAAGTCATCTTTCTTGGACTCTTGTCATGGCCACCCCAGGCCTTCCCAGCTCCCCTCATCTCATCCCCCAAGATGGGCTCCCCTTGCAAGCAGAAAAACTCCACCCACACTCCCAGAAGGCCTCAGAAGCGTGGCAGCAGTGACAAGACCACAGGCCCTAAAGAAGAATGGAAAAGAAGAGTTAGAGGGAATGGAAGAAGGAAGAGAAGGAGAGACGCCCGGCGGGGCGGGGGGTGGCAGCTGAGCGGAGGACAGAGGAGCAGGGCTGGAGAGCTGGGCCCAAATCAAGACTGCAGCAGAGAAGTGGGGTGAGGGGGCGGGAGGAGGGACATGGGGGTGATAGAGCCTCCCAGCTCTTCCCTCCCACTCTCCCTCCTCCTCTCTCTCTTACATGATCTTGAAACAACCTTCAAATCTGGGCTGGAGGCCCCAGGAGGCCAGTCACTTAGGAAACAAAACTGTTTCTTGGAGACCTTGAAAGCCCATCTGCAGCTGAGCAGCGTCCCCACCCCCTCCCTGTGCACACACACATTCTCCCATGGACTCTCACGTACACCCACACCCGGCTTCACACAAGCTCCCCACGGGCCCACATGCACGCACACACGGACTCACACGCACCTCTGTACTCAGGCTTGCATACAGATAACCCATTCACAGCAGATTGGCCACACATCCGAATGAGTCTGGTCCTCCGGCTGAGGAGCTCCCCCTTTGGAACGTGGTTTGGTACCCCACACCGTCTCATATCACACACAGGACCAGCGGTCAGGTCCTCCCAGTCACTAACGAGCACGCATCCGTACACAGGTACATGCACATTGCTGTCTGTCTGCAACTCTCTTGGTCTCTCTCTCTCTCTCTCTCTCTCTCTCCCCCTGTCACACACACACACACACACACACACACACACACACTTCTTACCAACCAAAGGTTTGATTCAGGACCACTCCATCCTCTCTCTCTTTCATGATCTTCAAATGATTTCCATCCCCACTCTCCCCTTGGTAGACCCCCTTCCTGATCTGTGACTTCCTCTCAGCGCACTCCCCAGCCCAGGCATCTTGGCCTCCCTTCCTCCTGCTTCCAAGTCTTTCTCTCTCTCTCCTTTGCTCCTCTTACTCCAATGGCCTTGATCCAAACTGGTACTGCTGGCTGTGTCTGAAGAGCAGTAGCCCAACCCAGGCACTCCAGATCAAAGAATCAGGTGTCTACCCCTGTTAATGTCCTAAAGCCTGAGGTTCATGGTGGACAAGAAGGAGGGAGAGCCCCCAGAGCCTCAGCTCTCACTGGGCAGGGAGGGTGGTCAGTGACGCACGGCAGAAGAATAGAACCTGGGTGTCCTGCCCACTCTTCCATTTCTCTGAGCCCTAAGGATGTGAGCAGCAGTGCCCCTCGGGCTGTGCTCTCACCCAAATGCAGGGCATGGCAGGGAGCCCCAGCAGGCTGTAGGGGCAGAGGAAGGGCACATCCTTTCCGGTATTGAGCTTGGCCACAGGGACCAGAGCCAGGGCCTTTGGAAGGACTGGGCAGTACTGGGAGGTGCCAGCAGGGGTGAGGGGTGGATGGAAACTGTGAGAGTGCTTGAAGTTTGCACACCTTCAGACTCGGGGACTAGTGTTTCCTCTTCTATCTCAGTGTGTGTCCTGGAGAGGGCTGGGCAGAAGATTATCCAGGAATTCTAGCCCAGGAACCTAAGGAATAGGTCCTTCCTAAAGCCCAACTTATCATGTTGTCCCCGCAGCCCCAGGCAAGGCTGCCCCGGTGTTGATGGCCCTAGCTGCCTCGGGGCTGCTCTGTAGTGACTTCTGCTCTTCCAGTCTCTCCTGATGTCTAACCTCAAGCTTTCCTGCTACTCCCCTCTCTCCTCAACACACACACGGTGAACTGGTATCTGTCCCCTTCATTGTTTCCTCCCGCTGCCCATTCTCCCCCAAGACCAAAGCCAAGGTCAGTGAAGGGGCCATGGGAAGGCCTTGCTGGCCCCATCCTACCCGCCCTTTCTGACTGGAACCCAGAGAGGGAAGGAGGGTGGAAGTGAGATGGGACCTACTAGGTCCCTGTAATGGAAAATCTCAACTGCAGGCCCGAAGGGGGCCGGTTATTTAGGGAATTCAGATGTGAGCCTTGTGCCCTGAGAGTGGATTTGCTAGAGGAGAGGCTGATAATCCCTCTGCAGGGAGTTCCCTCTGGGGCCAGAGAAGGACCCCGCCCCGCCAGCAGGCACCCTAGGCCTCTGGCCAAAGCCCCTCTTCCCTCCTCCCTTTCTGTCTGCTTTCTTTGCACTCAGGACGCTTAGACCTGCCCTACTGGCTTCCCCTTACTGCATCTCTGTGCCCAGAGAAACAGGGCCACTCCACGGGAATCCTGTCCCCTGAAGGTTCCCAGTAGAAGGTGGGAGCAGAGTTTTTTCCTTTCTCTCTGCCCCTTCTGGTTTCCCCTTCCTCTCTGTGCCCCTCATCCTTTGGCTTTTTCATCATATGAACAGCAACAACACCCCTAGACCAGCTGGCCCTGTCCTGGGTCATCTCCTTGCCCCCAGTTTCTAGCTGGTAGAAGGTTAAAGATACCCTGTCCAGCCCCAGGCAAAGCCTCAGGCATTTCTGGGATTGCTCCTGACTCTGGCGGGCATCCTCACTGCTCAGACATTTCCAGTATCCCCCACTGCCCTGCAGAGAGGCCCCTTCTCCAGCCTCGGTCCTTCCCCTCCCCACTGGAGGAAGGAAGCAGTCATTTCCTTTCTCGTTCACCTGTCTCATAGTTGCTGTGATATTGACCTCCACACACATCTTAGAGGTTCTGTGTTTTCCTCTTTTGACTTCTCGCGAACACTACTCACCAACCCCAGGCATAGTTCAGTCTGGAGCTCTTCCACAGGATGACACGATAAACGAGGGGGAAGCAAAGCCCAGAGGTGGCATCAGATCCCTGCTAGGGGGTCCCACAGTTCCCCTCTAGCCCTGGCCTGCCCCTCTCTACCAGAGTCTTGATTATCCTCCAAAACTTTGGAGAGATTACACCTGGCAGGGTTTGGGGACACGCTCTCGCCTCCATCTCCAAACTTCCCACTGCCTCTTGAGCCACCTTTGACTCCACCCGGGGCCCCTTTCCAGGTGCTTCAATTGCAGAGGTCAGCCTTCAGTTCCAATTCTAACTACTTCTGGGCTTTAGTGGCCCTGCAACCTCTCTAGCGGAGGGAACAGAGGAGTCTATGTTTCTTTCTTTCTCTGGGATGTTGGTTGTAGACTCAGGATACCTGAGTTCTGGTTCTGTCTTGTCAATTCAAATTGTTTAATCTCTCTGAGCCTCAGTTTCCCCACTTGGAAAAGAAGAGTTAGACCACATGGCCTCTGTCATCCTGGGATTCTGAGGCAACTGATCCCCCTCAACCAGATCCTAGGGGGCACATCCCCCTACCTGGGACCCGGGGCCCCTTCCCTGGCAGCCTCTCTGAGTTGTGAGTGCCTCGGGCCAGAGGGGGTTGAAAGGAGCCGGTGGGGGGGGGCAAGCCTCAGGACAAATGGGCTGTCTAGGGCCAGTGGCTAAAGGGGCGGGAGGGGAGGAGTCCTCAGGGATCCTGTTTCAACAAACGTTTCTTTCGGAGGAGGAGAAGGCGGGGGAGGGGGGAGAGGGACCTATTTAAGGCTACCCTGTTGCTTTGGCTGTCTCCGTCTGCCAGGGTCTCCGGGACGGGACGGGCTGGTGTGGGCTTGGGATCCTCCTGGTGACCTCTCCCGCTAAGGTCCCTCAGCCACTCTGCCCCAAGATGGGCCGTGGGGTGAGTATCCCTAAAGAGCAGGGGCTGTACTCTGGAGCTCGAGGGAGGCTGCTGAGGAGGGATGAAGTGGGAATGGGATGTGGAAGGAGTGGGAGAGAAAAGCCGAGTGGGATACTTGGAACTTGGAATTAACAGTCTCCAAACTACCAATGCGTGTACAGATCTACGGCGCTCACCTACCCTAGTGCCCTCCTCACTCTGCCTGGCCCGGCCCCCTGCCCACAATTAGACCCTCAACCCACCACACACGCCCCTCCAGCCCTCCCTTCACCCCTCTCCCCCAGCTCTAGCCCTTCCCCAAGGCAGTCCCTCCTCTCACTGCATCTCCTGGCCTCCCAGCTGGAAGGATGTTTGGCACTGCGAGTCCTCGCGTCTTTGCCACCCGCTGAAAATATCCATTCCTCTGGGAGTCCTAGCCTGAGCGGCTGGGGGTCCAGTTTGAGGTTAGAGAGGGGCAGGGGAGCATCTGGCTTCCAGAGTCACCAAGCAGTTCCGGACACCAGCTACAGGGGCCCTGAGTGCCAGGGACAGCTGGGTGGGGTGTGGGGAGGAAGAGCGGCGTGCCTCAGCCCCCACCCCCAACCCCAGCACCCCTCCGGATGTCCCGAGCAGCATTGTCCATGGGCTCCAAGCCATGGGCTTTGAGGACTTTCACAGAGGCTGGTGAGAGTGACCCCCCAGTCCACTTGTCCATGGCATTCTGCAGCAATGGCTATGCCAAAGCAAAGATTAACAACCACAATGGGGCGGGCAGGGACAGGGCTTTGAATTCTTGGAAATGAAATTCCCATATGGAGAAGAGTGGACCAATCCCTTTACATACTGTGCCTGGCTGCTTTCCTTTTGTGGAGTACTGGCAAAAGAGGACACAGAGGGAAAGGGCATGGGGAGGAACGGGAGGGTGTGAGGAAGACCCTGGCCACGGGGAGCCGTGGGTGCTTCTGGGCCCAGGAGAAGTCAGGCAAGGACATGTTATTGCACCAAGTAGAGCAGCTGGGAAATTCTGAGCCTGGACACCAGGGTTCCTGAGCTAGGGTCAGAGCCATAAATAGAATCTGTGTGTGTGTGTGTGTGTGTGTGTGTGT